GCGATGCAAGTAGATGTGAGAAATGATAAAAGATTTTTCCGAGGGGGGCGACACATCTAAATCTCAATTCTAGATGCTCAAAAAATCTCAGACTAGCGAAGCAATCTTCGAAAAATCATCTTTCATTTCTCGCATCTACTTGCATCGCGCTTCATCTTTTTGCAGGAAACCTTCAAAATCGACATAAATCTTCCTTCTATCTACTCAGCGTGCGTGCAGCTAGCCACAGCAAAACACAATCTTTTCTGCATCGTAGATAGAGTCGTCGCCCTCGGATTTTTCGAAGATTGATTCGCTAGTGTGAGATTTGTTGAGCATCTAGACTTGAGATTTAGATGTGTCACCCCCCTCGAATGAAACGAAGAAAACGAGATCATGAAATAAAGAAAACCAGATCATTTCCTTGTTTAAATATTGCATCCATTTATTTTCTTCATTCTTTGTTTTCGCTTCGTTATCGAACTGACATTTGCATGGGCAGATTCTAAAACTATATGCCCTACTAATTATTTTTCGTCAAAAACTAGATGTGATCCCAGAGCAAACCAGAGAGAGCTAGCTGATAGAGGAATCATAATCTACCTGTTGATGTCAATAGTTTTCATGTGTGAGCTTTGATTCGCGAGAAATCGACGGCTAAAGGCAATGTTTATAACAGAAATTATGCCCCTTTGAAATATTGACACTGATTTGATGGTTTGCATCACAAGATAGCACAACTACATGGTGGAAAGAGACACCATTATCAGTGACACGATAGGCTTGGGTGATGTCTTCGAGGTCACGTACTCCTGAATCGATCAGATGAACTGGTTCGAGGATGCTGTTTGTTTGACGGGTCGAATTTGCGTGAACACTCTTCCACTGCCCGCTCATGTTCAAATGAAAATGAAGACAGAGAATGTTTGCGATAAACCATCAAGGAAATTGGAAATGTAACCACAATCACAAAAGTCATTATAACTTCAGGATCATGATTGGTACACTTCGGCCTTTATATTTATACAGGGGGGAATCTGCTCACAGACACCTGAGAAAGTAACTCAGGGTGTGGGGTTGGGAGAATTGCACTCCCGACCCACTAAACCCTACCTGTGCCCTTGGCCCTTGACCTCCCCGGAACCGCCCGAAGGCATTACCAACAATCAATACGAAACTAACGATTTTAAATTGGCTCACTACTTGAATAGCCTATTGGTCCCAAGCAAACGATTGACGTACCCCATTCTAGTCGAAATTCAACTACTACACAATGTTTGTTTTGATTCGCTATGAAAGTTTGACAGATAAAATGAGGGGTTAGTGGATTTTCCTATGTTTCGAGAGGTGAATCGATTAGCTTGGGACCGAAGAGAGTACCAGAGCTGAGCCAAAAAGTTGAGCACGTTATTTCGGGACCTTATAGTCTTAGAGTTACCTCTATGGCATTACTTCGTGGGAGGGGCCTATGCGCTATAGCGCTCCTCTAGCCGTACTCTAACGCTCTAGTCGGGCAGTAGCCAACTGCTGCTCGTTGTAGCTCTGATACTATGTGGGTGACCGCACCCACCACAGCAAGATGTTATCCAGACTGGTGTCCGCTCCGCATATCGCTAGCATAGCGCTCCTTACTGGCTCGAAGCGTGGACAGGCGAACATAACATGTTCCGCCGCCTCTTCGAAACCAACTCACGCGGGGCAGGCGGGAGTACTTGCATGTCCGAACCTATGCAAGTAACTCCTAAAGCAGGCATGGCCTGACAGGAACTGTGTCAGTTGGAAGTTAACTTCCCCATGGCGCCTATTGACCCAGCTTGATACGGAAGGTATCAAACGGTAGGTCCACCTCCCTTTTGTGGAACTTTCCCACTCCGACTGCCACCTCGCAATCGATACTAAGCGCGCGTTGTTGCGCGCCCCTCGAACGCTCCTCGTGTCATAGCACTCCTCATCCTCCATCCATCCGATTGGCATCATCCCTGCTATGACACAGACGGCCTCCCTCGAGATGGTTCGATATGCACTGGCCACCCTCAAGCACATTAGCCTATGTGTGCTCTCTAGTTTCCGCCTGTGGCAGTCGGTATCCAGTACCGCAGCCCACGCAGGGCCTCCGTAACTGAGGATAGATACTACGACCCCGGCGAGGAGCCTGCGCTTGCTGGCACTCACCGCCGAGCTGTTGGACATCATGCGGGATAATGCCCCCACAGCCGTAGACGCTCTCTTGCAGGCGTACTCGACGTGACAGTCGAAGCTGAGCTTATCATCGAGCATAACCCCCAGGAGTTTCAGAGAGCGCACGGATCTAATTGGGCACTCGCCCACTGTCAACGTCGCATGCTTCACCGACATGCGATTGTTGACTACGACCACCTCTGTCTTGTGGTGGGCAAGCTCCGGTTTCCTGGATCTCATCCATTCCTCCACAAGTTTAACGGAGTGAGCCGCTGTCAGCTCTACCTCTTCCAGGGATTCCCCGTAGACTACCAGCGTGACATCGTCGGCAAAACCAACAATTTTCACGCCTACTGGGAATCTTATCCTCAGCACTCCATCGTACATGACGTTCCATAACACCGGGCCCAAGATGGAGCCATAGAGGTAACTCTAACTAACAACTTTCTGGATCAACTCTGGTACTATCTTCGGTCCCAAGCTAGTCGATTCACCCCTCGAAACGTAGAAAAATCCAATAACCCCTTATTTATCTGTCGAAATTTCATAGCGATTCAAAACAAACATTGTGTAGTACTAGAATTTTGACTAGAATGGGGTACGTTAATCGATTTGCTTGGGACCAATAGGCTAGTCAAGTAGTGAGCCAATTTAAAATCGTTAGTTTCGTATTGATTGTTGATGGAGCCTTGTGGCACTCCTGCGGTGAGTCTGAAGCATTTTTCGCCATCTTCTGTGTCATACATCAACACACGATTCTGTAAGTAGCTTTGCAGAATCTTGTACAGCCCTCCGTGGATTCGGAATTGGTGTAGCGAGCGGGCTATCGCCTACTTCGGCACTATAGCCCTACTTCGGCACGTTCGGCATAGAGCTTGTCTCAGCTCTCGGCACAACTTAATCTCGCGGCACAGATTATGGTGTGCAGAGTTCAATACCCCTTGGGTAAAGTTGTCTAACCCATATATGGGTACGTTAAATTTACTGACAACGTAGATAATGTTTAACCTGTGGGAAATTGATTTTGGGTGAATTCATCCTATATTTGGTTATTTTTTCCCTTTATAGTTTTGAACATTTATCAAATTTATAAAAATACAAAATAAGTTGCTTTAACTTTTATTTAAATCAAATAAAATTTCATCGCCAATCAATCGATGCCAATAGACTTTTATTACAATAAATCCAGCTTTAACAGGAATGGAATTTGCGTCACAACGCTACCCGAGCAAAGTCCTCTCAGAATGACAGCAAATTGAAATCAAGTTTTGATATCAACATCAAACTGAAATCATAATTTGATTTCAGTTTACGCAATGGACAAATTTGATACCAAATTTTGTTTTCATTTTGCTGTACATTTGCTGTTCAAAAATATGTTGTTGCGGGTTTGTTTTCATTGCCTTAGCATAACATCAAATTGAATACTTGTTTTGTTATCAACAGGAAAAATGGATATCAAATTTAGTTTTCAGTTTGCTCTCACTGATAGCAGAAATAGTTTTCAATGTGATGTCACAGGAAGATTTGTTTGCTCTCAATTGTGATATTTTAACCGTTAAAACGACCAAAACGACAGCAACCTGAGTAATCATTATCAGGGAAATCACAACATCAAATTTAGATTTCAATTTGATCTCAGACTTTGCTCGGGTAATCTTCGTGAAGGGTATTGCCTTCACGTTGAATTCTTTCGGCGAGGGTAGTGGCATCAGGCCTGAACATACTAATTATAGCTAAAATTCTACTTTTTTGAAATTGTGAAACTATGAGATATTAAAATAAAAAAAAATATATGTAAGATGCAAGAACAGGAGGTAAAGTTTGTGTATGACACATAAAACCAGTCAATTTTGCTTCCAGAGGGTCACAATTAGCTATTTTAGCTGTAATGAGTAATCGTCATGAGTGAGTACTATTCGTTATAAGAGATTAATCAGCGTCTGGCTGAAAGTCTCACTAATAAAGATAGCCTAACCTAACCTAACTATTCGTTATAGCTAATCGCTAATTGTGACGCTCCCGAAGCGAAATTGTCAGATTTTATGCGTCATACACAAATTTTGCCTCCTCTACTTGCATCTAACACATACAAATTATTATTATAATATCTCATAGTTTCATAATTTTGAAAAGTTGTATTTTAGCTGTAATTAGTATGTCCAGGCCTGAGTGGCATAATTCAGAATTTCAACCTTTTCGCTCTGACTTTTACCGGCCAAGAAGGTTCCTCAACTCAATGCCCTCGTCCTCATCTTAATCCTCCTGTTCGTCCATATCTTCGTCGGATGGAGACTGTTCCTCCGGCTGTGAAAACAAAGGGAATGTATCTTCCAAAATACTTACCAATAAAGTGATTCTGAGCCGGATTTAAGTGTAAACATCGCACACAATCGCCTTCAAATCATTTTGGGAATTACTAAAGAGCCTGAATTTATAAAGGGACGACTTTTCAAAATTGGAACAATCGATTATCTGTCAAAGCCATTGGAAAAGTTATCCCAATCGAGCAGAAGACCTGTAAAATGGATAAGATGTCGTCTCTTTATAAATTCAGGCTCTTTAGGAATTACTACACACTGTTCTAAACCGCAGGAATTTCGAAGCAAGTCATCAAGCGCGGCATTTTATCAAAATAAGACACTTTACTGCTTAAAATTCACTTAACGGTATGGACTGCTGAGTGTAACCATAAATTTCCATCAAAAGAACAGATTTAAAAATTATACTTACATACTCGATTCGTCATAAAACTCGGAGATTCTAAAAGCGATTCAATACTTTTTTTTCGTTAGTTGAATAAAATGGACGGAATGATTTCCTAATTCACTTAGGCTGTCATGTGAATCATGGGACAGCTCAGCGTTACAGCTTAAAACCTTCGCAAGATTCCGGCCACTGCCACCGCTCCCAGTGCCACCTTCCACGAAACTCCACTCACTCCCCGTGGTGCCCCGTTGCATCGATGGTCCAGGAAGCAAAAACAGAACGTCGTCTGCGGGAAGTGATCCCTCTTGACATCCAACTCCTTGATAGAGTTGTTCACATAATGTGCCAGCTGTTCGTCCTTTGCCGCCGGGCGACATCCCTCGTACTTATCGGCCGGTATGTCCGTGCGGAAGCCCTGCAGAGCACTAAGGCACTCCCGAGTTACGGTTTCCGTCACTGAAAGTTCGATACGATTAATTGCTTTCTAATGGTCACCATCGTTTGCCAATTCCAATTGGAACCGCTTCACCTACCGCCTTTCCGTTCGATCACCTTAACGCAGATGTCGTCATCCTCTGGACAGGCATCACCCAGGTAGCCGATTCCTCGCCAGTTGAAGTTGTCCCCGCAACCGGGTGTGGCCGACGTGCAGCGGTAGCACCAAATTGCTGTACCTGTAGGAAGTCGGAATGTCTAGTGAGTATGTCAATTTATTGGTTGAACTATTAGGAAAATCTTACTTCTTTCAAATGTAACTAGCAGCACTAGCATCGCAAGCAGCGGTTTTAGGTGATTCATTTCGAAAGGCACTCGGGATTTTGACTTAAAATAAAAATAAAATATTGAACTTAAATCACTAGCGGAATGTAAACAACGCCCAACCCAAATTATGGATTTAAACTGGCGACGATTGTGGTTGTTGTGACAATGGGTCGATTTTGACAGATGTGTGAGTCATGTTGCGTGGTATAATATATTTTTATGGCGAACTTCCTGCCAGCATAGAGATGTGAGGCGATAGTTTCCACTGAGTGTTAAAATTTAATGTTTTAATTGGCAAATCAAAGTTGGCACTCGTGGAGAATAGATGAACTATGAAAGTGATGATGGTTTCAAAATTTTACACGGTGAGGTATACGAATTGAATCTTAAAATGCCTTTATTTTGCAAATGGAGCATTTTATTTAAATCTGGTTGATGCTACGTTAGTAGAAAACTTAAGGACTACTCAATAGATATATAATATAAAAAAAATAATTTCTTTTCAGATTTTAAGGTGTATGCATAGATTTCAGCTTTTCTACAACTGTAGCAACAACCAGATTTAAATACAATGCTCCATTTTCAAAATAAAAGCATTTTAAGATTGCACTCGTATAGCTCTCCGTGGAAAATTTTTAAAACCATCATCACTTTCATAGTTCGTCTATTCTCCACGAGTGCCAACTTTGATTTGCCAATTGGCAAATCAAAGTTGGCACTCGTGGAGAATAGAAGAACTATGAAAGTGATGATGGTTTCAAAATTTTCCACGGGGAAGTATACGAGTGCAATCTTAAAATGCTTTTATTTTGCAAATGGAGCATTTTATTTAAATCTGGTTGCTGCTACAGTGGTAGAAAAGCTGAAATCGATGTATGCACTTAAAAATTTGAAAAGAAATTATTTTTTCTATATTATATGCCTATTGAGTAGTCCTTAAGTTTTCTACTAACGTAGCAATAACCAGATTTAAATAAAAATGCTCCATTTGCAAAATAAAAGCATTTTAAGATTGCACTCGTATACCTATCCGTGTAAAATTTTGAAACCATCATCACTCTCATTATTCTTCTATTCTCCACGAGTGCCAACTTTGATTTGCCAATTGCACCTAATATTATTTTCTTCCAAGCCCTTGAAAATTGAACGACAGCGTTGCCAGATTGTGTGAAAGCTTATCGGTATCGAAGATAATAAAAAATCGGTATGTATCGGTATTTACTATTTAATTAATGTTATATTTTTGCCATTTTTGAAAGCGAAAATTTTAACGATGGTGATGACTGGGACTTGAGGGGAATTACTTTATTTAATGGCTTTCCCAGTCTTAAAATACTCTTTGTTTTTTTTTTTAAAATTACCGTTGTCCTCAAGTGGTGATCAAAATTGTGATGAAGTAGTTTTTTTTTTAAATTAATATCATTAAATGAACAAAAATATGGAAAATCAGCCACAACAACGACTAAACTATTGACAATAACGATAAACAATATTTTCCCTTGAAAAAGGCGACAATCCATGACCAAAATGTCTTGCAGAATACATCGTAGTCGCTGCAGTGTTTTAAGACTGAGAAAGCCGTTAATCAAAGCAAAATTTTAGCTTTTGAACTATGATCGGAAAATTCCGGAAGAAAACTCCGGGGAATGTTTGAATTAGCTTCTGAACGAACTTACTTACTTACTTAAGTGTCCTGAGCGCCATCCCTGGCGCAAAGGGCCAACGTGAAAGATCTCCATCCTGGGCGATTGTTTGCTTTCGCCTTGACCTGGGCCCAGGTCAAATTCCGGTCGACTTGCTTAATCTCCTTGCTTAGGCTTCGCCGCCATGAGCCCCTGGGTCTGCCTCTGCTGCGATGTCCGGCTGGATTCCAATCCAGCGCTTGTTTGCAGATTTCATTTCCGCTCTTCCGTAGAGTGTGGCCAACCCACCTCCACTTACGTTCCCGAATTTCTGTCGATATCGGCTTCTGGTGACACCGTCGATGGAGCTCGGCATTCGAAATCCAGTTGTGAGGCCACCAAGCACGAATTATATACCGCAGGCATCGGTTGATGAACACCTGCAGCTTCTGTGTGATCTCCGCTGATACGCACCATGTTTCGCTAGCGTACAGCAGTACAGATTTCACGTTAGAGTTGAAAATTCGGATCTTCGTGCGGAGACTAATCTGATTTGACTTCCAGATGTTTCGTAAACTCGCAAAAGCAGCCCTTGCCTTCTTGATCCGTGCACCTATGTCACTCTTGGTTCCGCCGTCCGACGCTATCTGGCTGCCAAGATATTGGAAACTTTCAACCTTCTCCACTTCCTGACCAGCTACCGTAAAATTGGATGGATGTCCCGTGTTGATATCCAACGATTTAGTCTTGCTGACGTTGATGTTGAGACCTGCCGCTGAGGAGCGTTCGGCGAGATCGTCGAGCTTACTCTGCATGTCAGAACGCCGTTGTGATACTAAAGCAACGTCATCCGCCAAATCTAGGTCGTTTAGATGCTCCATTGTAATAGGCTGCCAGAGCAACCCACGGTTCGGCACACGGTCGATCGCACCAACCATTATCTCGTCGATTACGATGAGGAACAGTAGCGGTGATAGAATACATCCTTGCCTCACTCCAGCGACTACCCGAATAGGGTCAGATAGGGCTCCGTTGTGCAGCACCCTGCACGTGAAAGCCTCATACTGAGCTTCGATGAGGTTGACGATTTTATCCGGAACTCCCTTGCGCCTTAGGGCGCCCCACAGGTTTTCGTGGTTGAGTCGGTCGAACGCTTTTTCGTAGTCAATGAAAACCAAGTAAAGGGACTCTTGGAATTCGTTGACCTGCTCCAAGATTATGCGGAGCGAGACAATATGGTCCACACAGGATCTTCCAGCACGGAATCCCGCCTGCTGCCGTCGGAGAGTCGCGTCGATCTTCTCCTGTATCCGGTTGAGGATAACTTTGCATAGAACTTTGAGAACACAACACAGTAACATAATGCCACGCCAGTTATCGCATACAGTTGGGTCCCCCTTCTTTGGGACCTTCACTAAGACGCCCTGCATCCAGTCAGCCGGAAAAGTCGCGGTGTCCCAGATATTGCAGAATAGTTGATGCAACATTTGTGCAGATAGCATGGGGTCAGCTTTGAGCATCTCTGCTGATATGCGATCGACCCCGGGAGCCTTGTTGGATTTCATGGTTCGGATAGCAGCTTCGATCTCCGGTAGGGATGGCGCCTCAGAATTGACGCGAGTGATGCGTCGCACTCTTGGCGGTTCATGCCGAGATGTTGATGGCTGGTTGACCGACGAAACTTGTAGAAGCTGTTCGAAGTGTTCAAACCAGCGTTTCAGCTGATCAGTGGGGTTGGTGAGCAACTGACCAGTCGCGTCCTTCACTGGCATCCTAGGATTCATCCTTGCTCCACTCAGGCGTCGTGAGATATCGTAGAGGAGACGGATATCGCCTGTTGCTGCGGCTTTCTCACCTTCATCGGCTAGGGAGTCCACCCACGCTCGCTTATCCCGCCTACACGAGCGCTTCACTTCCTTCTCGAGAGCCGAATACAGTTGGCGGGCCTGGTTCTTCGCTCCTCTGGTTCTCGCCCGCTCTATCGCGGCTTTTGCATTTCTCCGCTCCTCTATCTTCCTCCAGGTGTCATCCGTGATCCACTCCTTTCTCTGAGCGCGCAGCTCGCCCAGGTTGTTTTCACTCGTTTCAGTAAAGGCATCCTTGATCGCCGTCCATTGCTCTTCTACGCTGCCACCATCAGGAATATCCGCAGCTCTGGTCTCCAGTTCCTCGACGAATGACCTTTTTACTGCTGGATCTTCCAATCGGCGTGTGTTGAATCGCCGTCCGAGCCGCTCCTCCCGCCGCTGGACCCGCGCGATACGAAGGCGGATCTCTCCAACGAGGAGATGGTGGTCAGACGCGATGTCGGCACTGCGTTTGTTCCGAACGTCAAGAAGGCTCCTTCTCCATTTTCGGCTGATGCAGATGTGGTCGATTTGATTTTCGGTATGTCCATCACGGGAAACCCACGTGACTTTGTGCACTGGTCGATGGGGGAAGAGCGAACCCCCAATCACCATGTCGTTATTGCCACAAAACTCTGCCAACAGCTCACCGTTTTCGCTCATTTCGCCAAGACCATGGCGCCCCATGACACGCTCATAATCCGTGTTGTCGGAGCCGATCTTCGCATTGAAGTCGCCGATGTAGATCTTGATGTCACCTCTCGGAATTTTATCCACGACTGCATTCAGTTGACTGTAAAAGTTCTCTTTGTCCTGTAACTCGGCAGCATCGGTTGGCGCATAACATTGGATTATGGTTAGGTTACGAACCCGCGTTCTGAATCTGGCAACGATTATCCTCTCATTGATAGGTTCCCACTTGATGAGCGCCGCATTTGCTTGGGCGCTAAGCAGGAAACCAACTCCACGGTGGCGGGGAGCGTTTTCACCTCGAATACCAGAATAGAGTAGTACCTGTCCCGACGGCAGCTTGTGTTCTCCAAAGTTTGGCCAACGGACTTCGCTTAGTCCCAGGATTTCGAGCTTCATGCGTCGAGCCTCGCTGGCGAGTTGTGCCAGCTTCCCCTGTTGGGCTAGCGTTAGTACATTCCATGTTCCAATTCTTGTCCGTTGTTTTGCGCTAAAAGTCGTTGCCGTAATATCAGTCCGTGATCTTTCTCTATTGGTTTCTGTAACAGTTGTAAAGTTTCGGGGACAGTAGGTAGTTAGCCTAAGGTCTCCTATCCGCCGTGATGGGGCTGCCATCTTGGGTATAGCTTTCGGGGATAAGCATTTCTTGTTTCAGCCGCTGGATGCCAGGCAGACGCTGTTTGAGCCGCACCTCCATGGTGGACAGACGCTCAGTTATTGTGTAGATGGGGCTGCCATCTTAGATTTAGCTGACACAATACAGCATTTCTTATTCAGCCGCTGGATGCCAGTCAGACGCTGTTTGAGCCGCACCTCCATGGTGAACAGACGCTCAGGCCGTGTAGGCCGAACCCGCTAGGGGCCCCCTTCCCTGTCAGCATATGACCAAAGCTCCCACCGGGGTTGGTTACCCGATCTTCGCTAAGGTTGCTCATATC